GCCTTTCACTTAATCAGCCATCTGTGGAAAATTTTATACATCTTCACCTTATATAATGTAGGACTATTTGACTTTGTATTTCTTTCCCATACCCTTAGCCACTGGTCTACCTCTGTTTTAAATCCCAGAATCTTGGCCCGTACTATCAGGGGGTTCAAGCCATTCACTTTGCATTTCCACATCTAGCAAAATATTGTATGGCCATGTTTTATTTAGCTCTGTGGGCTTTCCATGAGGATCAGATTGTTTATCATTTCTGTGTCTTGATTCTAGCTGTGTTTTTTCCCCGCATGTCAAATTTATAGCTTGTTTTTGTAACAAGTCTATTGTTTGTAAGTTGCTTTTATTTTCTGGTAGATCTTCATATAGACACGTCAACTGAATCCCACCAGGTGCCGTTAGGTAGTCCCGCCCCTAATACGATATATATATATGTGCCCATCGATAGGGATAATACAAACTATGTAAGCCGCTCAGAGACCCATGGGAGGGGTTCGAGCGGGGTAGAAGTTGAAGGTAAAATAAAAAATAAATAAATAGTTGGTGTCCTATTTTTCCAATTTTGATTTCTACCTTATTAGTCACAGTTGTTAAGGCTGAAGTCTCTTGTTTGTTTACAGAGATTGATTTTTTAATTTCCTGTGTTTGCATAGACAGATGATTTGCCAAAGCATCTGTTTTTGTATGTATTGGTTCTAATGCTTTAGACAGAGTTGTTTCAACAGCCAAGTTCACTGCTAGTATAACAGATTCTCGTATCAGATTCTGTAAATCATTTATACTTATTTGATCTGCCTCTCACCCTGTGCTCTGCCATGACAGTTTAATTCATCTGAGGAGGGCCTTCTGCAGGTGCTACCCTGCCAAGGGACAAGATGAACAACTGCCCATACATGTGCCTTCTCTGTTGTAGCCCCCCACCTTATTTATTATATTTATACCCCGCCCTCCCCGCAAGTGGGCTTACGGGAATGACCTGCCTGGTGGTACATGAATCACAAGTTAGGGATGCCCCCAGGACACGACTTCAAGCCCCCAGGAGCATTTGGGGAGCGGGGACCAAGTGTACCAGTACCGCATCACTTTCAGCGAAAACCAGAAGTGATATCATGGGTGGGGACATTCTAGCATTGAAAAACTCTATGGTTAAACCCTAGAATTTCAGGCAAATCCTAGAGTGCCCCCCAGATGCCATGATGTCACTTCCAGTTTTCGCCATAAGGTCATACACTGTTGTGATGCCAGCGCCCCTCCAATTTAACACTATTTTTCTCTCACTGGCCTTTCAGATGCTGGTGGGCAACAATGGGGATTTCTAGGATCTAAAAAAAAAATCTTAGGCATATACCTGAAAACATAATGTTCAAAGTAAATTCTGTACCTAATGCAGTATGCCTGTGATGAAATAATTAATATGATTAAATTATCAGTGTTGTTGCTGGGACTGCAATGTTAATTTAAAAATTGGACTAAAATTGATCTAGGTCAGGGGTGGACAAACTTGCTAGGTGTAAGAGCCACATAGAATAAACATCAGATGTTTGAGAGCCGTAAGACATGAACAAATATTACACGTTTTTACTGGTTAATTTGAAAATTTGCTTTTTATTAACATTAAATGATACTGCCAAAAATAATAACAAAAGCAGTAAATGCAGATATTGATAATGATATTTATTTGCCCAGTGATATTTGTTTGCTAATGATATTTAGCTTCCCCAGACGCCCTGCCGGGAGCCACATAATATGTGTGAAAGAGCCGCATGCGGCTCCCAAGCTACCATTTGGCAGCCAAAAGAATAGGTAATTGGGAAGCCAAAAGAAAAGTACTCATTATAGCGCACACTTTCTTAGAAGAGGCATTCCTTGTTTGTGAAAAGCAGGAAGGCCTCTTCCTCATCCCAATGAATTCAAATGAAGCAAATGAAATTTGCGGCTGAGAATGGATGCATCATCCAGAAGTGGTCTGTTTTTACTGCATTTTTTTCTTCATGTGCAAATACACACAGATTTGATCGAGTCATTAATAAATTAAAACATACGTGATTAAACAATTTAAGATTTCTTTAACTGGGCAACATCTTTGTTTGCTGGTGACAATGTATTTGGGCTAGGGTTGCCAGGTCTGGGTTGGAAAATACCTGGACACTTTGGGGATGGATCCAGGAGAGTGCGGGAAATGGGGAGGGGGAGGGTCCTCAGCCTGGTACAATGCCACAGAGTCCACCCTTCAAAGCAGCCAGTTTCTGCAGGGGAGCGGATCTCTGTCAGCTGGAGTGCAGTTGTAAAAGCGGGAGATCCCCAGGCCCCACCTGGAGGCTGGCAAGCCTAATTTGGGCTGACTCTTAATGTGACCTGAGTTCACAGAGAGTCATTCTCTCTCTGCCTAACCTGCCTCTCACGGTTGTTGTCATGAGAAAATGGACCAGAAGGGGGAACCGTATGTTAGAAGAGCGGGATAAAAACCACACTCTACACCGGGCGTCATGGACTTGATCATGACTTAACCCCTCGTGGGCAGGGACGCGTCCCTGCTGTATCCAGTTGCCAGTTCAAGTCCACCCGTCGCGTGCGCCTTTAAAAGGCGGGGGCGCTCCAGGGCCAGCCTAGGGAAGAAAGAGGGCGAACGGGCGGTGCTGGCGCTCTTTAGCCGTCAGCCGCAGTTCCGAGCTAGCGGCGCGTTAGGTGGCGGAGGATCATGTGGGGGTATCTGATCGTTCTAGCGGCGCTCCTCTTTGCGCTCTACAAGGCTTGCGGCGGCGGCGGCGGACGGAGCCGCTCCCCGAACCCCTTCCCGGCGGATTCCAGGCGGCCGCCCTCGCCTCTGGTGACCGACAAAGACGCGCGGAGCAGCGTTCTCAAGCGAGGTAGCCGGAGGGGGCGCAGAGAGAGGCCCTAGGGAGGCGGAGGAGGAGGGGCCGAGGGTGGACGAGGGCGCGCAGTTGCTGCTCGGCTCTGGAGGTGCTGCTTGGCCGCGGGTTTGTTTGGCTTTCAAAGGCTCCGGGGGATGTTCCGTTTTCTCTTCTTTTTGCGTCTTCTGTGCGCCGACTCCCGTTCCATAGCGCTGGTGCGATTGACCCCAGTCACAATTAGCTACATACTGTAAGTAAGTAGATAGAAGGTAGAAATGGATGCAGCTTCAAAAGCTACAGGAATAGTTAAGGGCTTGTATGAGCCTGGTGCAATGGAGAGATTGTGTAGGATTACCAGATGTCCTCTCTTTAGAGGAGCTGTCCTCTTTGTGTGTGTGTGTCCGTCCTCTTTTTGGGCTCTGTTTAAAATGATGAAATGTTCTCTTGCTAGTTAGTAGCGATTATCACGGTTTAAATAGTAGGGGTGTTTAAAATGAGTTTTGTCGTAGCTATCACTGGTTCAAAGTAGTCCGTTGGGAACTATGTCCTTTTTTCTTTTTCTTTTTTGCTTTTCAAAATGTGGTAACCCCAGTTTGTGAGTTTAGGTTCCTTGATTCAGATTGCCAGCTATTATCTGTTTTCCATATCGATTAGGGCACAAGTTAAACACTGTGAACTCAGAAATCCTGTTGCCCAGTTGGTGAGCTTCCTTTGAGTGGGCATGCTCTCTCTCTCCATATGTTGCCCCACCCACACCTTACCAGCCTACCATTGCTTTTCCAGCTGGGTAAGGTGCCTTGAACTCTGTGCAAGCTAAAAATGACTAAACTGTTGTACTTTGGTCACATTATAAAGAAGACATGAGTCACTAGAAAAGACAAGCATGCTAGGAAAAGTTGAAGGCAGCAGGGAAAGAGGGAGACCCAACATGAAATAGATTATCTCAATAAAGGAAGCCATTGCCCTCAGTTTGCAAGACCCAAGCAAGGCTGTTGACGATAGGAGATTCTGGAGGACATTAAGTCATCGGGTTTTGCCATAAGTTGGTAGTGATATGACAGTGCTTACCACATGCATCGACAAGGTGCCCTGTATGCTGATTATACTGTATTAGTAATAAAGTTAAGGCATGAGTTGTAAGTGCATATTTAACTTTCCAGTTGAAATCCATGGTATGTCGAAGTGCTCATTACTAGATGGAGTATATATATTTTATTGTACATTTTTATCCAGATGTTAGTTTACCTTTGAACAAGGCTTTAATACAGGTTGTTAGATTTTTTTATCTTTTGCATTGATGTAAGCTACTTAGAGTCTTAAAGTGCCCTCTTAAGGACACTTTCTTGGGTGTAAGCCTCACTGAGTAGACATCAGTGGGATTCTGAGTAGATCTTGGAACAGGACTGAAAATGAACATTAGGCTTTGTCTGGGGAATTTTCTGTTCTCTGGTGTTTTACTGAAACTAATTTTGCTACAGGAATGGGCCCAAGAATTACTTTCTTTTTTTTTTCTGGACTGCGGGCTCTAATGTCATTCAGACAGATTTCAGTTACAGACTTTGAGTGTGGAATGTAGTTTCTTCCAGAGAGTCTCCCCCCCCCCCATTCTTACTGTCCTCCGTTTCTCCTGTTTGCTAGTCACACATGCAACCTGATGCTTTGCATGTTGTTCTCAGAGTCCCATTGAGTTCTATGAAATTTACTCTAAGAGAACACAGGATTTGGGCCTTAAGTGGTATTTTAGATACTGTAGACAGCAGAAGGGTACATTGACAGAATGGAGGAGAAGATGTACATATGTCTTTGCCCCGGCCCCAGCCCTTGGGGATGCCTGATGGTCTCACCCCAGGGAGCCACAATGGGCTGTAGCTCCTGGGGGCGGTGTCTGTAGGGGAAGTTTTAAAACTCCTTTCAGCCAATAGGAATCAAGGGAGGAGTTAATTAAAATATACCAAACGTGCCAAGTACCAGCCCATCTTGATAAGATGAACCTTTTTAGTATGATCTTTCACCCAGATATATTTTATTAACTGCAATGTTAAAAAGACCTAGACAGATATGTTTAGGCTTTGAAGGCCATGAAATGTGAATTCAGGCAAAGATACATCTACAGCTTTAGTTCTTACGCCTAGGCTGCGTAAGACTTCAGAACCAAGAAAACAAAGTCACTTATAGCAAAACCGACATAGCATAGAAGAACAGAAAGGCCCAGGCTCATGTGACTCCAAATTCTGGAACAGTTCTGTGTGGCATACTCCAGTGCTCTAGGACTGACACATGAAGTCTGTAGCTGCTGTTCAATAAGCTGTTCTGAGGCCCTTCTTCTGTATCCCAAAGAACACTGCTACATAGATGCTATGAAGCCACTGGTTCAAATCCCATCTCTGTCATAAACCCAGGGCTATTTTTGGGCAGGAACGCATGGGAACAGAGTTCCGGCTGGCTCCCGAGTTGGCCACGCCCAGCAGGAACTCATTAGCATAACAGGCCACACCCAACAGCAGAAACGCATTAGGATTGGCTACATTAGGGGTGTGTGGCCTGACATGCAAAGGAGTTCCCGCTACAAAAAAAGGCCCTGGGTTTTGACCACAAACAAGGTAAACAGAATAAGAAGCAAAAGGTGGGTGTGGCTGGATGACCACACTTCTAGTAACATGGGGGTGCAGCCTAATGTGCTAATGAGCTGTGCTGTCAGGGGTGTGGCCTAATTTACTAATGAATGTTTGCTGTTGGGTGTGGCCTATTATGCTAATGAGTTCCTGCTGGGCTTTTTCTACAAAAAGAGCCCTGCATAAACCCACTAGCCGGCCACGGGCAAGCTCTTTTCTCTTGGCTTCAGCCCCTTATTGCAGAATCAGGGTAATAACGTTGGCATACCTAGCAGGACTGTTATCAGGATTACTGGGATAATATAGACCAGGGATCCCCAACGTGGCACCCATGGGTACCATGGCTCCCACCGACACCTTTCTTGGTGCCCACCAAGTGCTTCTAGACAGTGTGTGAGGCCAGGTGGGGCTTTCGCCCAGCAAGGCTTTTGATTGACCACTGGAGATTTGGTTGGCTTTGCAGATTGTTAAAAAACATTGTTTTGGCAGCAGCTGCCACGGCACCACAAAGATCTTCACTGAGTGATTGAAGGTCAGCTGTGGCAGCCGTTCCGTGGCTCGCTCCACCTCCTGCAGCAGTCATATTGTAGCTGCACCTACCACAGTGTGTCAGAATTCCAAAGGTACCTGAAGGCTCAAAAAGGTTGGAGACCCTGATATAGACAGAGGTCTGTACTGTACCAAGTATTAATACAATCAGGATGGTGCAATAGGAAACACATGCACTTTCACACAGGCTGAATAATGCAGTTTCAGTCCAGTGGCTGTTTTTGCACGTGGATTTTGCCATTTCGCACAGTAAAATCCGGTTGCAAAGTGCATTATTTAGTGAGTGTGAAAGCGCCTATGTTATGGACTTTGGCCATCAGGTACTTCAGGCATAATTCTTACTTAGTTGTGGGCAATGCTCCCTCTATGTGGAATCTTGTGAGCAAAAATTCCACTTTGTGAGCTACTGGCATTAAAGTGGTGAGCGAGCGATTTGGCTACTGCATAAATTAGTTTGCTCTGGAGCCATCCTTCCTGAGTTAAGACAACAATGTGTGAGCCAGGGGCTAAAAAACTGTGCTAGCTCACACTGAATCAGCTTAGAGGGAACACTGGTTGTGGGCTCGGTTGGAGGCTTTGATCAAGCTGCTGTCTCAGTCCTCCATGTACAGAAATGGCAGGATAGTGCCATAACTCAGTCAGAGTTGCTGTAAGGGCAAAAATAAAATATAAGGTGGTATAAAACCAGTGGTCGGTCAAATAAATGATAAGATGCGTGCTACAGCACTTCCTCTGCCATAAAAAAACTTTTGCTGCTACTTCTTTAAAAGGTGGATTTAAATCACCCCTTTAAGTAGTGGCATGTGTGTTCTTTGTCTTACCTAATTGATCAGTCCTAGTATGACCTCTCTAGGTTGGAGGGATTAAACAGTAGCTCAGGGTTTGTACCTTGATCTCACAAGCTGTCTGCTGAGTCATGCAGTCGCTGTTCTGTTCTGTGGAGCTGCTCAGACCATTTGAATGAAATGGGTTGGATCTTATGAATTGTTCTGCCACTGTCTACCAGTGCAAGGAGCCTTTTGCTGATGGGATAAAGCCTCCTTTGACAGTGGAAGGCTCTGCTGTAAATGGAACAGATTCATAGGAGCCAGCCTAATGGGTTGGATCTGGTCGACATTTCTGCTGGTGACGAAGGTCAGAGGGATCCCATCTGACTGCCCCAAAAGGCCGTGTTGTATATCATGGGTCCTTCACGAACAGAAGTCATATGTTGGCAGCAACGAGGAGGGAATTGGGTGAGATTAAGCAAAAAAGTTGTCTGCATCCAAAGCGATGCCTGAGGAGTTCTGCATCAAGGCATAGACTGGCTGCTCACCTGAGAACCGGCATAGCAAGGAGAGAGGAGTCCTTTGAGAACCTGACAGCGTAATTGCCTACACAGAGGTTTGCACTGAAGATGATTTGCCTGTCCTGCTGTCTCGCATTCGTCTCAGCAAATTAAAAAGAAAAGGGAGCAGCGAGAGGCCAAGGTGTGCAGCACATACACAGGCACAAAAGATGTGCCTGAAATCTGACAGTCAAATCTTATTTGCAGAAATGATCAACAGCCAGAGCACTGCCCCAGGCCATGCATCTTGGAAGCCTATTGACTGCCCAGCTGCCATGGTGCCACCAACTCTGGAGTCCAGGCAGTAGCTAGGGCACAGCTGGAGGGTGTGTGTGGGGGCCCTCTGGCCATCCTGCAGCCAGTGATCAGGAACAGACTGGGAGGCAAAAGTGGCCCTGTAAAGGCCCCTCTCTTGACAGATTGGGGGGGAGAGAGAGCAAGCAGGCTCCTGTGGAACTGAGCTGCCTGCTTGCAGTAATGGTGGTTGCTTTCATCTGCCTCACGTGAGGAAAGGGCTGCCCCCTTGTTTGAGGCCAGGGGGGTCCTGGAGGGGTGTGTGTGGCAGCAGTGATTCTGAGGCCCCATCTTAGACTTTTGTCCAGGTCTCCAGAATCACGAAGGCAGCGGCTGGATGTGTGAGCAGCAAGAACTCTCATGGGAGAGTCAACCTACCAAAATTTTCTTCTGAGAGTCAGGGTAACAATGTGCCACATCATGATAGTGGGGAAGGGACTGCAGGAGAGGGAACTGGGCAACGTTACCGTGCAAGGACAGCATGTTATCCACTTGTCCAACAGTAGCAAGACGAAACAATTTTGCAGGATTCCCTCTTAAGGCAGCCGTATGGGTTGGGTCTTCTGAACGGTTCTGCAAGGAGCCTTTCGCTGGTGGGATAAGCCTCATCTGCTGGTGGAAATCTCTGCTGTGAGTGGAACAGATTCATAGGAGCCAACCTAATGGGTTGGATCCAGCCAACTTTTCTGCTGGTTCCCAAGGGTCCCCTAAGCCACCAGCAGAAAGTTGGGGGGGAGGGCTGCGTGGAAGAAGAGAGATCTTCTTGTGTGAGCTCCTTCCACTCAGACATCTCCAGGATCCCTCCCATTATGCAGTGTTGGACTGAGGACACAACATAACGGTCCTTCTATTCCAGGTTCTCTTAGAACTGCTCCAAGGCAGAGGGACCTGGAGCCTGTTTGGTGTAGTGGTTAAGATTGGAGGACTCTAATCTGAAGCACTGGGTTTGATTCTCCGCTCCTCTACATGTAGCCAGCTGGGTGACCTTGGGCCAGGGTAGGTCCTCACAGCTGATAAGGACGTGGCTCCCATGTTACAAGCCGTGCCTCAAGGCAGGTCCCAGGCCTGTTACAACATTCTAGTTTGTCTGGCTGGCTGTCCTATTCCAGCAGGAATCGATGCTGATCATGTCCCTTTGTTTCTGCATTCCAGCATTCTCCCGGGAGAAGGTTCCCGACCGCCTAGATGCCATCGTCATCGGGAGTGGCTACGGAGGCCTGGCTGCAGCTGTGGTCCTCTCCAAAGCCGGGCGGCGTGTGCTGGTCCTGGAGCAGCATGGGAAGGCGGGGGGCTGCTGCCACACTTTCAATAAGAAGGGCTTTGAGTTTGACGTAGGTAAGTCTACCCAAACAGGCTACCTTATGGGCCAAAGAAGAAATCTTAAGACAAAGGCCCAGGTTCAGATCCCTGGCTCAGCTGCTGAGGTTTCTGATGAAGGCTTGTGTTGTCAGGACTAAATCTTGCTTTTAATGAGTTCTTGCGGTTGAGCAGGGATTGGCATCTGGGTCTCTCTGGCAGGCTTATCCAGCGCACCTTCAAACTACAACATCACATTTCAAACACTTTCACACTAAGTTATATAACATGAAGAGAACCAGAACAGCCATGTTTACATTGTTTGACTTATGCATGGGTAAATTCAAGAGCTGTGGTTCCAGAAAAAGTTATGCCTGAAGAAGATTTGTTCGAAATACGCAGGTTATGCCCGGGAGGCGTGTTGCTAGGCCTGCTTGCTAGCTGAATCACCTCATGGGAAGATACATCTACTAGGCTTGCTTGCTAAGCTGAATCATCACAGTGAGAAATACAAGCTGCCTGCTAGCTTTACCTGATGGATCATCACTTGGGAAATGTACAATAGGTTGCTGCATTGTTCGGTACATATAACTGTACATTGGTATTTATCCTCCATCAGGAAGAAGACAGTCGAACTTTTCATGCTATATAACTTAGTCTGAAAGTGTTTGAAATGTGACGTTGTAGTTTGAAAGTGTTTACAATACACTAGAGTTGATGTTGTGTATAAAAAGCAAATATATTTAGCTATAAGTACATGTGAATATTGTGTTTATTATTTCAACACGGTGTTTTCTGTGTTTATCTAACTTAGCCGTGTTCCCTGTGCGCTTGTTGTTATCCAGTGCACCAACTGGCCCCGCTGATTATTTCTCATGCTTTTGCTAGTCTTGTAAGGAGGCAAAAAGCTATACTAATAGTGGGTCCTGCCAGCTCTTCCACTGCCAGGGACTCCATGTGTGGACCTGAAGGACACCCAAGCTCTTTCCCAGGATCAAAGAAGGCCAAGAAGTCTGAACCAGGGAAGGAAGTGAGCCCCCGGGGAGCTCAAGGCATCCCGCAGTTTAGTCTCATGGAGGAGGAGGAGGAGGAGAGCAGGATCCAAGGGTCAGCTCCAGCTTGGCCTGGCCTTGCCCTGCTGCTGGAGCAGGTAGCGCATGGGACAAAGAGGTGGTCTTGTTCAATGCCTCTCCTCTTCACTCTGGCCCCATGCTGCACAGATTTCTGTCCATGTGGGTCCTATGATGCCAGGCATAGTTTTTTCCAGGGGCCTCTTGCACCAACAAAAATGCTTGCAGAATCCAGCCCATCTTATTCATCTTTTTTTTTCTCTCTTCTTTTTCGTTCCATGCATCTTCTAGGGAGTTCAGGGTGTCTATATATGGCTCGTTCCCAGCTCTCTCTTTTAAACCTCACAACTCTGTGGTGTGGTATAGTGGTTAAAGTGTTGAATTAGGGGCTGGGAAATCCTCATGGAAGCCTGCTGGGTGCCCTTGGGCCAGTCACACCCCCTCAGCCTAACTCACAGGGTTGTTGTGAGGATAAAAGAGAATGACGTAAGCCATTTTGGGTTCCCATTGGGGAGACAGGTGGGATATAAATCAAGTAAATACAACAATAAAATTTCATTTATACCCTGCCTTTCCCCCCAGTGGGGACCCAAAGCCGCTTACATTGTTCTCCTCTCCTCCATTTTATCCTCACAACAACCCTGTGAGGTAGGTTAGACTTGACAGTGTACGTGACTGGCCCAAAGTCACCCGGCAGGCTTCATGGGCGGAGTCAGCATTTAACGTGAGCCTTCCAGATCCTAGTACAACACCCTAACTACTACAGCTTGTAGTGGGTCAGTCTTTGAGTCTGGGATTGAGGTTCTTTCCCATGGCAGAATTTGAACACCGAATGTTTTAATGCCTTATCCTTTTTTTAAAAAAAAAATTATTATTTTATTACATACAACATACAATAAAAATATTGATACAGTAACAACAAAAAGGAGAAATTAACTTTCCAAACAGTATCTTGTTGACAAACATAACAACTATAGCTACATCAAACTAATAGATAACTAACATCAAAACTAAAGGTTATACAATATCAGTAACCCGCAATTTAACCTAATGAAACATGTATAGTGGCAAGGCATTATCCTCTAATGTGTTGCTGTGCTAGGTGTATTAATTGTTGCTCCAACTACTACTCCCACTTAGAGCCAAATTAGATGTTAAGGTGGCCACGGATCCAACTTCTGGCCACCAGCCCCATTCTAAGAAGGATTTTTGCCCATTGAAGAGTGCCGTGAAGGCCTCATCCTGATCAGGCCCACAGTGCAGGGGGACTGGGAGGTCTTGTTTCCCTACCCCGTGCCTTTGAAAAGGTGTGGTGGGCAGAGACAAGTTCTTCTGGTCCCCTTTTGTGCTACGGGCTCAGTCAGGATTGGGCTCTTGCAGCGCTTTTAAATGAGCAGAGTGCTCTCCAAAAGGGCCTGGGCACCTTACTTTCTAAACATGCCCTTGGAAGTCTGTTGTGGTGTCTACAGCACGCACAGCAATTCTCATAATCTAATGCTGTAAATGCTGTAGATTATTTCAAATAAAAGATCGGTCCCATTTTATATGTATTGTGTGAGTAAAATTTGCCCTAAAAGTAATTTTACTTATTCCAAAACAAAGCAATTAAAAAATCATAATTTTTTTTATAAGGGTGCCACAAATTTTCCCATTTGGGGGGGGGGGATGGAAAAAAGACCTTGGAGAAGATGGAAGCCTGAAGGAAACACATTTTTCTGTATTTTTCTCTCTCTTGGCCTTTATAGCTCTATATCTGGAAAGCCCCCTTCTCCTTCCTGGTCTTGTAACTAAGGTTGCCAACAGATCTGAAGAAAAATGTCTGGTCCATCTAATAAAGACTTAATGGGATATTACTTACCTCCATGCCATGAAAAGCTTCAACTTCCTATTCTTACCCAGTAAGCCGCGGTGGCTCAAGTGGTTAAGATGCTGAACTGCAGGCTGTGGAAGGTCGGTAGTTCAGCAGTTCGAGACCCGAGTGCCGCATGACGAAGTGAGCTCCTGTCTCTAGTTCCAGCTCCTGCCAAGCTAGCAGTTCGAAAGCAAGAAATTCCAAGTAGATAAATAGGTACCACTTCAGTGGGAAGGTAACAGTGTTACGTGCGCCTTGGTGTTTAGTCACATGACCATGGAAACGTCTTGGGACAGCGCTGGCTCTTCGGCTTTGAAACAGAGATGAGCACTGCAACCCTAGAGTCAGATTCGACTGGGTTTCAAGCAAGGGAACCTTTACCTTTACTAAAGATATCTATTAAAGAAACAGGACATTTTTCTCCAGGCCTGTTGGTAACCCTGTTCAACCCACCTGCAAGAGGGTTACAGCCTACAGTTTGAGAATTGCTGATCCTACTGGATATATGTACCAAAAACGAATTCTGATAATAAATTCACACACTAATCTAAGAGTTTTTTCAGTGGAACCTACAGATGGTTGAATGTAGCAATGAACTACAGAACATGAAATTATGCAGGCACATTTTCTTAAGCAAGTTACCCAAAAAAGGGCACTTGTATAGATGTTCAGGAATGAGGACGCTGGTTTCTCCAAAGTATAGGTGGTCTTCCATTATAATGCTTTGCAGTTGCCTTCCAGGTATCCATTATGTTGGGCAGATGGTGGAGAATTCTTTTTCGCGTATGATTGTTGACCAGCTCACGGATGGACAGCTCCAGTGGGCGAAGATGGACTCTCCCTGCGATGTGGTCATTCTAGGCGATCCTGATAATGGCAAGAAGTATTACATGTACAGTGGACTGAAGGAACATGTTGATGGCTTGAAGAAACAGTTTCCAGATGAAACTGCTGCCATTGACAGATTTGTGATGCTTGTAAAGGTAATCACCTTTCGAAGCTGTCTTGGTAGAACAGTCTCCTCCCCATTGTCTTTATACCCCTCTTTCCCCCCCAGTGGGAATCCAAGATGACTTACAATGTTGTTCTCCCATCCTCCATTTTATGCTCGTTACCACAGTCACCCTCTGAGAGGTAGGCTGCGTTTAGAGAGAGTAACTAGCCCAAAGTCGCCCAGTAAATTTCCACGGAGGAGATTTGAACCTGGATCCTAGTTTGATGCTGTAACCCCTGTACCATGCTGGCTCTTGCTAAATGTAACTTTCATGTTCAGAGTCAATTTACCACTTTCAACATTTTCAGGTGGGCAGCAAAAGGCGTTGGTTTTGGTTTGTATCCTCATTTGCAGATCTTCCAGGGGCATCCGTGGGAAACATCATGGACGAAGATAGTCTCTCTGGTCTGATCCAATACGTCTGCTGTTATTTATGCTCATAATGTATAGTATCTGTGTCCCGCTTCTGAGCCAGATTAGCTCCCAAAGCAACTTGCAATAGAAAACCATCACAACCTGAATGCGAATGTTTATGAACCAAAGAATCCCTTTCTTCCATACAAGAGTTAGGCATTCCAAATGTGGAAATGTAAAGTAGTTTGACACAGAATTCGCAGGGATGGGGAGGAGGGGGAGGAGTAATACCCCACCCTTCACTAGGAGTCTCAGAGTGGTTTACAATCTCCTTTCCCTTCCCCTCCCCACAACAGACATCCTGTGAGGTAGGTGGGGCTGAGAGAGCTCTTTCAAGAACTGCTCTTTCAAGGGCAGCTCTGACAGAACTGTGGCTTGCCCAAGGTCACATCAGCAGCTGCTTGTGGAGGAGTAGGGAATCAAACCCAGTTTCCCAAGATTAGAGTCCACGCACTTAACCACTACACCAAACTGGCTTTTGGTAGCAAGACTGTTAAGTGGTCTGAATGGGAAGGAAGTAACCGTACGTACAATGTAAATTTGGAACACTAATGTTCAGTGCAGAAGTTGGTATTCCTGTTTGACCATTTGGTACAACTCTTGATGGAGGGTATTAAAACCACAGCTTCTTCCTGCTAGCGAAGGTGAATATCAACATTCCTGGTCTCATGCTCGGAACACTGAAATTTGCAACCGCATCTTGGTGTGACATGTGCAAAACTCTCTTGATTTCCTCCCCTTCTGCAGAGAATTGGCAGAGGAAGTAGCCACATGACCCTCCTGAAAATCCTCCCGCTGCCATTGGTCAGGTTTCTGAAATCTACTGGCTTGCTGGGCTTGATCTCTCCATTCTGTGGGATGGTATCCAAAAGTCTTTCAGAAGTCATTTCCGGGCTCACGGCAAACGCGGATTTGAAAGCAGTGTTCAGCTATATCTTTCCTACCTATGGTAGGTGACTCGGACGTATTCCCACTTGCATGGGGTGTGTGTGTGAGAGGGAGTGCACTCCCAGGCTGTCCCTTTAGCTAACACACACGCACACACAAATAAACACAGATGTGAAGCAATGTTCCCTCTAAGCCGTGGAGTTTTGTGAGCAAAAATTCCACTTTGTGAGTGACTGGCATCAAAGTTGTGAGCGAGTGACTTGGCTACTGCATAAATTAGGTTACTCTGGAGCCCTCCTTCCTGAGCTAAGACAAAAATGTGTGAGCCAGAGGCTAAAAAACTGTGAGCTAGCTCACACTAACTCAGCTTAGAGGGAACACTGATGTGAAGTTTCTTATAACATTGTTTCTACTTTCCTTTCTTTTAATCTGATTAAAGCTCCTTGACTAAAAGTCTTGTTAGATCAGGCTCATGAGAGAAACATCTGGAGGGGAGAAAGGGTGTGGAGGAAAGGGGTACCTTGTGCTTGTGCCTCAAGACTCTGGTTGGGGAGATGCAGCTGGTGGGGGGGGGTGGTTAAGCACACTAGCCGCTACTTCCCCCCTCCCAATCATGCCTTCTCCTTGCCCTTATTTAAATATTGGGGGGGGGGGGGGCATTTTCAAATCCAAAGAGTGTCTAGTTTTGTCTGATGTTGTGTCACACATAACTTGCTGATCCCCACATTCTGTTTTCTTGGCTGTGTCTACAGTCCCACATATAGCTGGAGTTTTTAGTATTGTTAATCCAGTTGTTCAAGGTGGGAGCCAGAGAAGCTTCTTTGTAATATTCCCTAACAAAGCATGTAGCGAAACATGTAGGGATCTAGAAGACCCAACAAAAACTGTTCAGCCTAGCACGTTGTTCCTCTTTTCTCCAGCCAAGTTCTGAACACATCCCCTTCCAGAGGTGTATACCGTTTTTAGCTTTGCAACTTTAATGGCTAACCTGAAATGGACACTCTCGGGCATGATATTGCCCATGGTGGTAAGATGCTGGGTGGGCAGGCTGCATGGTAGTGGGATGTCGCTGTCTTGAGGGCAGAGCTCCCATGTCATCTTGGCAGAGGTGTTGGTGTACCCGCATTTGAGAGAATTGGGTGATGGGGAACATGTTGGTTGGGGTGATGGGGAACATGTAAGAGGATTGGAGGAGGGGCTGCAAAAGTTGCTTCTGCCAAGGCTCTTTTCAGAGCTTAGCTAGTAAATATATAGCAAACAAAAGTTCTCCCCTGCAAAAAATACACACACATACACACACACACATACAGGGATCATTTTGTAGAAAAAGACGTGCATGGACTCATTAGCATACCTCATTAGCATAACCTATTTGCATATGCCACACCCCCTGACATCACCGGAAGTGTGTCAGAAGGCAACGCCCACCACTCAGGCTCCACTGGACTGTTTTGGATTGCTAGCTATTCGGGGGGGGGGCACACACGTGCAGATCTGTCCTCATAGAGGAGGGAGAGCTTGTACCTGAATAAAACTTGGTCTTAAGGTTGCCACTGGACTGTTTTGGACTGAGGGGCCAGGGGGAGCTCTGCAATTTACCTGGCTGCTTCTTGCTCTGACTGAGGGCTGCTGGGAGCAGGGGGTGGGGCTTGTTGCATGTGCCCTTCCCCTGGGCTCTTTACTGCCAAAGCTCTGCTCCTGTGTGCTCCTGCAGGAAATGACCCCTGTATATATGTGTGTGTGTGTGTGTATAATTTTTTTAAGGGCAGGGCTTTTGATCTGACATGTCAGGTTCTAGCTTTGGAATTCTGGCTGGTTAAACAAGACTTTTGGGATTTTGTTTTTAAACATACACACTGTTCAATCACTCTATTTTTCTTTGTTCCAGCTCTTTGTACCTAACTTCAGTGTAAAAAGGGCTGCAGGACCTCCTCCAGTATCTGTTGAGTTCCCTTTCTCTAAAGGCCGCAGGGCTTCCACAACTGCAGGTGGAACTAAACAAGAAAATGAAATCTGTCAAGGCTTTCTCTTTCCTTTTCTCTTGGTAATTGTACAGTTAAAATGGTTCATTGGCTTCTGCTGATAGGGACAGGGAGATCGGACATAACGTTACAGCATGCTGAGATTATGTTAATAATAGAGTGGGGGAGAGATGATACAGGGCAGCAGTAACCAAGCGCCCTCTGTATTGTCCGGTTCTACTGTGTAAATTCCTTGGTTTGAGCTCTTGCATGCAACAGATCTGTGACTTTACATCATGTCTACAAACAGTGCTCTGGGAAACTCCGAATAAAGTCTTTCCCCTCTCTTACCACTTTTATTCAGATCTTATGAGAAGAATGAAGGGGGGGGGTATCTGCTCACTAGGATATTCCACTCCAGCTTGCCTGGCAGCTTCACCCTGGTCACAGATTGCTAATGTGGACCAGTGAGCTAGTAATTTTCTGTATGGGCCAGTAGAACCTCTTTGCAAGCCCTTGATGGGCTGCGTTCTTGTGCTGGGAGGGTAGGAAGATGGTGGGATATTGCAGATGTCACTCCTTCAGTCATGAAAGAGTTAACCTGTTTGTTTAAGCATGCTAATTCTTAGCTAGTTAGCTTTGAACCGGTTAGTTCTTAGGCACGTATTTCCCACCAGAGAAAAGGAGGGTATTATTCATAATGAGATAAGTTTGGAAACTGCTGCTGGTTAGTTAGTATAGTGATACATGTTGTCTGTCATGTAGACAGGAAAGTGGGGGCACTGGGGTAAATTCTCTTTCCTTTGTTCTCTCACACATGAGTCTGGTCTGAGATCTAGACAAGGCGGAACTTATAACTAGTTAATCAGGATGTTATTTTCATTCCACGTACCCTTCCTTTGATGTTATCTAGTAAACTTAAAGTTAAATGCACGTGTGCTGCATTGCTATGCTCTGCTAAGTTTCCAGCAAAAGGCTTCTCTTGTTGGACTGCAGTTATGTTTTGATAACCCTCCTCTCCATCCTAATCCTTCCTCCTCCTTTCCCCTCTTCTTTTACAGGAGTGATTCCCACACAGTCCAGCTTCCCTCTACATGCACTCATTTATGATCACTACTTGAAAGGTGGCTGGTATCCTCAAGGGGGAGCCAGTGAAATCGCCTTCCACTCCATCCCCATCATTGAGCGGGCTGGAGGGGCTGTCCTTACCAAGGCACCTGTCCAGAGCATTTTGGTGAATTCCCAAGGGGAAGCCTGTGGTGAGTTGGACTGGATCGGGGTGTGTGTCTGAGAGTTTGGTGTCAGGCTGGCCAAGTCTGAATTCCCTGATCGAAGTTTGGTTTTATTTGCTATGAACTAGGTAGCCTAGGTTACCCTGTCTGTCTTAGCCTTAGCCTCCTATGTGCAATATAAGGATGGTAATACTTTTCTGCTCTATAGGGTTGTCACAAGGATCAAAAGACAATGTATACAAAGCATTTTGACAGGTGTAAATACTATATAGAACCATAAAAATAGCAGAGTGAAGAAAAGCAGCCAAAGCAGCCGGAAAATGGGAAGAAGCAAGAAGACTGAATGCGTATTTCCAGAGGGCGGCAAGGGAAGACAATGAAGTTCTGCGGGACGAGTGTTGCCAACAGCTAGAAGAGGACTGCATAAAGAGCCGCGCCAAGCTTGCATTTATGTAAGTCAAAAAGATTCGAACACCATTTACTGCCCGTAAAGGCCATTATCCAAAGTAAGCAAGGGAAAGAAGATTATCTACTTAGGCTTCATTGATTTACAAGAAAACCTTTGATTGTGTCAATCATGACAAACTGTGGAGAGCCCTACAAGACCTGGAGGTGCCAGCACATCTGGTCAAGTCGATACAATCATTGTACACAAACCAGGAAGCCACTGTGTGAACACCATGCGGAGACACTGATTGGCTCAAGACAGAGAAAGAGGTAGGACAAGGTTGCATGCTTTCACCTTTCCTATTCAACATGTATGCCGAAAAAATCATGAGGAAGTTAGAGCTGGAAGAGTCAAAAATCGGGGTAAAGATTGGAGGAAGGAATAGCAATCATCTTTGATATGCTGATGACACAACCCTCCTCTTAGAAGCCAAAGAAGGCCTGGAATGCCTGATCAAGAAAATCAAAGAGGAAAGTGAGAAGTTTGGCCTCTTCCTAAGCATCAAAAAGACCAAATTTATGACCACCGAGAAGAAGAGAAATGTCAAAATAACAGTTGACAATGAAGAGACCCAATGTGTGGAAGAATTCACTTTCTTAGGATCACAGATCAGCCAAAACGGCAAATGCAATCCAGAAATAAAATGTCAAATCACGGCTGGGTCGCACAGCAATGATGAGCATGAATCGCATATGGAAGAGCAAGGACATCAGCCTAGCAACCAAACGCAGATTAGTCTGTGCTATTGTGTTCCCCATAGCAACCTGCTGCAAAAGTTGGACAGGAGAAAAATCAACTCATTTGAGCTGTGGTGCTGAAGAAGGCTCCTGCAGATTCCTTGGACAGCAAAGGTGACAAACAAGCAAGCATTGGAACACATAAAACCAGACATGTTTTTGGAAGGAAACATCATAAAATTGCGACTGACTTATTTTGGCCATGTCATGCGGAAGAACTCACTAGAAAAAGCAATTACGCTTGGATTGGTTAGCAGCAAAAGGAAACTGGGCCATCAAAGAACATGGTTGCTAGACACCATAAAAGTCGACACCAACCTGAGCACGGAACGACTCAAAGAAACAGTACAAGATCAGAAAACGTGGAGAGAGCTGGCCCATAGAATTGCCAAGTGTCAGACATAACTGAACGGCTAGCAACAACAAGTACTATATAAGTGTCAAATGGGTAATGCTAGAAGGAAATTCAGTTCATGTATTTAGAATATCCGGCACTCCTCTTATTACCTGTGCCAATTAATTGTGACGGTTCTATAAAAGCCCTGTATTGGGGGAAAGTCAGAAGCTCCTCCAAACTAGAGGAATTGATAATTGGGGGCAAGAGAGCTCTGATCCAGGGGACAATGCAGTGATCTTTGTCACTTGTGCCACCCAATGATCTGGACCTGAAATGTGAGGGATTGCAAAGTCGGTCTATGAACAGCCTAGGGGAGTGGTTCAGGAGAACACAATGCCGCTTCTTTCCTGAAGCTAAGCAAATCTGGCCCTTTCCTTGGGTGGGAGGCCACCAAAAGCCCCATGTGAAAATGGGGTACAAGCCAAAGGATGGGGGAGAACGTAGAAGCCCCTATGTGTTCATACAAGCCTTTGGGTTTGCCAGAAGGGGCTCTGTGCTTGATCTGTTAACTGTGATTCTGGTGCTCACACCTGCGTGGAACTAACATCCCCCCCCCCCCCCAAGACTGCTCTCCAGTCATCCTTCATCGTGTACACGTGGCACCTGTCTGTGCAGTCCATTTTTATCCTGACCTTCCTCCACAGAGCTCCGGATGTTGCACGTGGCTTTCCCATCCTCATTTTATCCTCTCAGCCCTGTAAGGCAGGCTAGGCTGTGAATGGACTGAGGAGGGTCACCCAGCAAGCTTTATGACTGAGTGGGGAGTTGAACCAGGGTCCTGCCAGATGCTAGTCTGACATTCTAAGCACCGCTCTGGCTCTCAGTAGGCCATTCTGTTCGGAGAAACATGTAACTGTAGCTCCGATGAGCCCAGCCTCAGAAACTAAGCAGGGTTGACCCTGGTTAGTATTTGGATGGGAGACCACTGAGGAATACCGGAGCCGTGACATGGAGGCAGCCAATGGCAAACCACCTCTGAATGGCTCTTGCCGTGAAAACCCCACCAGGGGTCGCCATATGTCAACCGTGAGTTGACAGGCAGAAAAATATTGTCCTCAGTTATAAATGTCCTAGGGTTCAGTTGTCATGTTGAAAAACGGGATTGCAGGGCTAAATCCTGGCTGAAGGTAAGCCTGGTATGTGCTCCTTAACAGAAATGCAGTGGAGCCTGCCCTGCCCTGGATAGCCCAGGCAAGCCTGATCTCATCAGATCTCGGAAGCTAAGCAGGGCCAACCCTGGCAAGTACTTGGATGGGAGACCTCCAAAGAATACCAGGGCCGGGAGAAAGAGGCAGGCTATCAAGCCACTTCTCTGAACATTCTCCATGTCCCAGTAGGAGTCGCCACACACACACACACACGATGGGAAAAGACCATAAAAGAAAAAAGAAAGAAATGTAGTGGAACCTGTCTTACATCTGAGGGAGCATCTCTTAAGGTTATGTGCAAGGCTGAAACTGAAGCATGTTCCTTTTGGCTCCCTGGCATGAAGGGCCTGGAAAGAGAACTTGGTGACACCTTAGAGCAGGATTCGCCACACTTCCTTGCCTGGTTGTGTTCCGTGAAGTGCACCTCTCCTTGAGATGCAAGAAGCATAAGTTTGTACAACACTGTCCTTTTGCCTTGTGTAGGATTTGAACAGGCTGGTGCAAGGGGCCCAGGAAAAGAAGGGCTTTGCCTCTCTGTAACTCAACAAAAGAAGTGTTTCTGCCAGT